GATCGGGCTCCATCGATGCAAGTACTACATGTGGCCTCATTGCAGGAAAAGGTTGGAGTCCCTCAAGGTACGCCACTGATAGACCGTTAATTACACATGTTTTCACCCCTATTCTTGAGCCGTTTGAGGCGTTGATTCTCGTGTTTTAGGCTGATTTCACGCTAGGTTGTGCTTGTTTATGATATTTCAGGTCCTAGTAAGTGAATGAAGGTTTAGGAGCGAGTTCGGGGTCGATTGGACGAAGATCGGGCGCGAGGCAAGCCGCTGAGGAAGCCACACGGGCACACACAAACCCCACACGGCCGTGCAAGTGACCAATGTGGCCGTGTGGGATTGTGCGAGCCTTCACACGGGCACAAATAAATTCCACACGGCCGTGTAAAGGAGCAATGTGGCCGTGTGGAATTCTACGAGAGCAAACACGGGCAGAGTGGAATTTCCACACGACCGTGTGACCCTGGCCGTGTAGGTAGCCTGAAGTTCGACTTATCGAGACGCTGCGTTTTGGAAGCCTCACGGGCAACTGGGTATGCCACACGGCCGTGTGGCCTGCCCGTGTGATCGGGATTTTCAGGTTTTTACCCAATTTTGGGCCACAAGTGAGAGAATCGAATTTTTCAGAGGAAAAACAGAGCCCTAGAGAGAGAAAGTGCGAAGAACACATCCTAGAAGCTATCTTGGAGCTGGGTTTCATCGAATCAAGCTTGGAGATCGTCATAGGAGTGGAAATCATCATCCCAGAGCAGATTTTCCTCATCTTTATGAGTATGACTACTCTGATTTCTGTTTTCCTCTCTCTCTCTATGGAGTAGAACCCTTCTCTCACTTGGGTATGAAGAAACCTAGTTCCATGTGTTAGGGATTTGATTGTAATGACTTGGGATGATTATACTGTTTGGTTTTAATCGAATGATGCATGTTTTATTGAATTGATTGAAGTCTGATCAGCTTTTCTTGATTTCTGCTGCAACCTGAGATATATAGAATCTGATTAGGTTGTTAGAGCTTCTTCATTCGATAGTAGGAGATTGGTTATACGAGATTTAGCCAGTTTACTGCTTTGTACTGGAATCCAATTCCAGTAGTGGAGTTCTGTGCTCATTGCTTCAGCTTTCTGTCCCGGTGAAGACTAGTCGTCTGCCAGGTAGTTAGACTGAGAGGGCTTGGTCAGCTTAAGAGATTCCAAGCTACTGTCGGATCTTCCGTAGTCTAATCAACAGTAAATCAACCCAGGGTAATTACAATTGAACCTAACTAAGGAGCTAGGGGGACTCATTTCCCGAGTGACTCTTCTTTGCTTGAGAAAACCGAACCATTTCCTGCTTTTTACTGCTTTTAGTTAAAACAACATTCACTCGACTTAGTTGGCTAGATAATAGATAATCACGGAGTAGGCAGTAGATCTAGACCCCGGGTTGATAATCGAACTTGCCTGTTACTGCATTCCCGGACTGCGATTACACTTGGTCGCAGTTTGGTGTTGTGTTTTGGCGTGTCAGCCACTCCCCGCTCGTCCCAGACCAGCTTCATGTTATGCAAGGTCTCGATGGGAAAAGAGTGTGTCCGGCCAATGATGATGCCCCCCAAGTGCATCGTGCCCACTCTGTCTCGACCCAAAACTCTCGAGAAGGTGGTAGCAACCACTAATCCCCGATGAAGTGGTGTTGTAGGTCTGCTCAAGGTATGGAGGGCAATCAACCCCCTGTTGGTGACCATGTGCCCCGACTGAAGAATGGGGATCACCAACCGGTTGAGCACCATATGTAGGATCCTCCACGGTGTCCAAAACTTCACAGCATTGGTGTTAGAGGCCCAGAACTGGTGGTCTCGATCTTTTGGCCAGCAGATAGCACTGTATGCCTCCTGGTAGTGAAAGTCTCTGGTGTACTCCGGCTCTATCATCGTCATGGCGGTGGTGTCAAGGCCCATGGCATGAGCAAACCCGTCATAGGTCAGCACATGATGCTGACCTCCTAGCATAAACTCCACATATGGCTTGTTCCTTCTAGTGTTGGGTATCTCGTGGATGAAGGTGGATTATACCTCACACAGAGCTCTCTGTAGATGAGATCTTCCACGGATAACAGACTTCGCCACTGGGGATGGATGAGCACCCCAGACATCGCCACCCGGCACCTGAACATGGTGAACATGTCCTTGTCCAAGAACCAGTGAGGTTCTGCATCATTGTTCCTCCACTCCTCAAACCTATCCCCGTACTTGTGATAATTCACTAAGTAGCCAATGTACGGGTGGTCGGGATCTTCCATCATGCAAACACATTTAAACCATACACCATACGTGGAAACATCTCATCAATCTCAAATCGATGGGGAGAAAAAGAATCCCCCACACTTGGGATCCCACTATGATAATATGCTCAATTGCACACAAGGAACACTGAGGCATGCTTCTAGGTGATTCATAATTCAGTCAATCATAGCAAATTCGAACCTAAACCATGCCTCAATTGCCACCAACCATCATTCACAAAAGAGGATCAACATTCATTCATAAATAGTATTTGGTGGGTAATTTTCTCAATTCAACAAAAATCATACCCAATTCATACCCCCCAAGGCTCAATTAAGCTTATAACCACTTCATTCATCATTCAAATAACATTAAACGACTAACCCCTCGCCCATTTTCAACATTCATTAATTAAATCACAAAATCCCCTTCACCTACAACCCTAATCCTATTCTTCAAAATTAACAAGCCAAAAGTTCGAAACAAACCTGGAGACTCAAATAGGATCGAAGGGGAAGGTGAGGAGAGGGCGAGGGAGTCGAAAGATGCACAAAAAACTGCTCGGAGAAGCTCGTCAGAAGCTCGCCAGAAATCGCCTCGCTGGAAAAAATCGATCCCATATCGCCCCAAAATTTTGGTGAAGGTGAGCCTTGACGAGGGATGAGTGGGTCTAGCTTTTGTTTTAGATTTGTGTGGCCGGAAGTCGCCGAAATTGCCAGAAAATGACAGTTGTCGCGGTTTTCCGATGAAGGTTTTAGAAAGTTTCGGTGGAGGTGGCGGCGTGAAGTGAAAAAGAAGGGTTTACGACCCTTTATTTAGCACGAGCACCAGGTTCACAGAGGGAGGTTGATTTTCACGGTCATGATGATCACGGTCTCCGCCTCATTATCACGGTCGGCTGACCATGATAATAGGGCTAAAACCTTGAACTGGTGAATAATAGGGCATTTCCCAAAATTTCAACACTTAATCTAATCAACCGTGCCCCTAACTCGATCACAACACATCCAAAACATACAAACACACAACTGCGGCACGATGATCACCACTCAAACACTTGAACTCATCACTCAATCACAAATGGAGAAAACAAGGAAAAGAAAACAAACCTACGTTGGGTTGCCTCCCAAGAAGAGCTAGGTTAAGGTCACTAGGTCGACATTGCAAATCTTTCATGCTTGAGAGCATGAGGCTTCCTAGAGTGGATCCGCCATGGTCTTGGGGCGAGGCTTGTCGCCTCTCATATTAAACTCCAAAGTGGAATGATCCCAAATTGCTTTCATTTCAAGCTTTCGTGGATTGATCACGAAAAAGTTCATTAGGGAAGAAGGGATTTGAATTTTGGCCAAGTGTTTTCTGTGTTTCAGGTTGCCAACTTGGGAGGCTTGGTTCTCTCAATTGACTTGGTGAAAACTCAAGTTCAAGGGCTTGTTTTGAAGGTGGCGAGTTCTTCTACAAATGGGAATTCTTGGATGCTCAAAGGAAAGCCTAAAAGGTCATGTTCGAAGCTTGCCAAAGTTCCTAGTTGAAAATGGCTAAGGTAGGAACCATGACTGAGAAGCTATCTTGTAAGCTTAACTTGAACCAGATTAAGGAGAATCAAGGCCATGGAGTTATGCTACTTGTTTCAATCTACAACCTAAAGGAATTGGCTGAAGATTTGGAGTTCATTTGATCAATGTTCAAGACATCCCAAAGTTGCTAGTTAGAACTGTTTGTTTGGCAGAATCCTTGTTGGGTTTGGATTAGGAGTAGCATTAATTTCCTTGTTAAATTAGGCTTAATTCAAGTTTTGTTTTAGTTTGTTTGAGTTTTTTTATGCCTATAAAAGGCTTGCTTCGTGTAAGATACAAGGCAGAATGAATATGAGTGATTTTTGCCCCAATTCTCAAGCTTTGAGTTTGTGAGTTGAATGTGTTTTGGAAGAGTTCCAAAACTTACTGAACCTTGTTTATCAATCAAGAAAACCCACTTTATTGAATCAAAAGCTTCACTATAACAATTGTGCATTCTCCCTGGTGTGATTTTACCCTTTTGTTACCATCAAATCCAAGTTCCAAACTACACTACAGGAAAACTCGTCTATAGATACAAAGAAAATGTGTCTCTATATAGTAGTTAATTGTCTCTGCATTATTGTAGATACAAATTATTCATTTGTCTCCTGTAGCGCTGTCACTATAGCCATATGGAAGCAGATATGGAGACAAATATTAATTGTTACTGATTAGAGGTATTGCAACTAATATTTCAGTCTTTAATATGTCTTTTTGGCACTATTTTATTTGCCTCGATTTCTAGTTTTCAAGGCACAAATATTAGTCTCTAAAATGATATTTAGAGACAAATATTTTGGTTTCTGAAATTACTTATTGAGACGATTATACTTGTCTTCAAATATAAATTTGAAGACGTTTTTATCTGTCTCTGATGTTCATTTTAGAGACATATCATTTTGCCTCGAAATTAAGTTTTTTGAGACAGATATATAAGCATCTAAATACTCTTTAGGAGACTTATGTTTATGTCTATAATATTGTTTATAGTTGCAAATATTTTTGTTTTCGAAATGGATCTTGTACAACAATTATATATGTCGCTCAAACCATTTTCTAGACCATTTGTTTTGTTGCAAATGAATATATATGTAGAGGGGAATAATTGGTTAATTGTTATTGTCAATTGGATTTTCAACCCATGAAATCAAATTAAACGAAGATTGATAAAACCATAATAAAAGACAAATATAGAAAATACTAAAAAATACTATTAAATCCATAACATCAAAATGTGCAAATTGTGTGCTGACCTCAATACGTTCAAACAAAGTAAAATAATGGATCAATTCCAATATAAAAAAACTAACACTCAAAACAAGATGGTCTTATTAGAACTAATATCCAAGCAAACATCTTCATAATGATCGAGCAGCTTCAAAATGATTGAGTATCCGTCACTGTGATCTGTTACACAAAAAAAAAAATTAACCATCTATTTTTCATAAAAATGTCAAACCAAATGTATAACCAATTATATCTAACTTACCAAAGATGATGGCCAAGCGATACTCCTTCCAACCACATCCCCAAGTGTATGAAAACTTCCATATGGTCGTACTAAAGGCTCGTCGCTCTTAAAGGCGACGTGAACAAATACTTCATAAAATCCACGACCCAATTCTTGGCCAGCTACACAACCCTTTGGATCCTTAATTACGATATTAGCATAAGCCACATTAACTTCAGGACTTAGCAAGCTCTTCAATATTGCAAATTCTAATCCCTGAATTTCAAAATGTTAAGATATTAACTCCAGTCAAAACAACTTCTATAACCTTGTAACAAACATCATTGATATCCAATTTTCTTACTTGAGATATATGATCAGTCGTCGTAGTCGAAGAAATTTGTTCAGACCTTTGCACTCTAACAAGAGAAGATGAGTCCTTGTTGACCTATTATATCAATGATGAAAAAGTATATTAAGAAATATTATCTTTCTTCATCGAATATAGGCATTTAGTGCTATATATAGATATGTAAACTAGCTATAATTCACCTGTTGTTGGCTAGAGGAACCACCATCATGCGATGAATCCAGCATATAATCCAAAAATGAAAATGTCTTGTTTGGTACCTGCATAATATATTAGAGAAGATAAAATAACTTACATTGCAAAGAAAACAAACCCCACAAGTAATTAAAGCTAAAGCAAACACCCAACAACGTAAAGGTTAAAGGAATCTACCTCCTTTAACATCCACAAAAACTAGTAATGAAAAAAAAAAGGATTACAAAAAATCATACCCTTTGGGAAGTGTTTTTTATAACAGAAGAATTCACTTCAGATGATAAGCCATTGTAATGAGGCAGATAAGTTTGAAGAATTTGATTTGGTGTAACCTGATTTGGTCAATAAAATATACATGATAACCAGTTAGAAATGATAGAGTAATGATTGTTCATTTGAAAACTAAATTCAAACTTACCTCATTTAATTGACTATTAGTTCTACGTGGAGTTATATCTTGCAACATAGGAAGCAGTGGACTCCTCCCTAAGTTTACCTCTTCTCCCTCAAATCCAGTCGGACTCATTTCATCTCCATTACCTTCTGACTCGATGACTACATGGTCCTACAACTCAAACCCATACAATTATGTTGATGAAAAAAATGTAATCCATAATGTTTCAAATTACTAAATTAAAAAAAAAAGACGTACCTGTGTTGTTGAGTCTAACAATTCATCAATGCTCACATTTGGATGAAGTTTATGCAGCAAGGTCATGATTTTTCCTTGTCCCGCTCTCACCTCCTGCAGCTCTCCTTTCATCTTTTCCGCATTCTCTTCTGCATTTCTTTTAGCCTCTAATGCTTTCTTTAATATTGACACACGAGAATTCTTCACGCCCCAACCTGAACCTAATCCAAATGTTCTCGAGTGATGATATTTGTCCTCTCCTAGTGCTTGTGATAGTATGTCATGCGGTCCAGGACTATCATGATGAGAAGGCTCTATTTGAGTTTTCTTTTCGTTGATCCTTTCCTGGATGGAAAAGGTGAAGTTTGGAAGGGATTTTATGCAAAATTACAATGATGCTTGAACTAACTATAGTAACCATATGAATTAAGTAATTTAATACTTACAATAACCTTTGCAACTTTGTCATTCAATGGAGTCCCATTCGGGCGCACATGAGCAGCAACATAAACCTCGGCTCTAGTCGGCTCAGACTTGTCCGGCCTAGATTCCGCCTACAATGTTAAGAAAAAATAAATTAACAATCGATAATGTATTATCATTTATACGTATAAATTTATCATACTACCATCTCGTCTCTCTTGCAAGCATAGCTTTTGGAACCCAAGGTGTGTGCTGATAGCACTCTGCCCCTATTTTCCTTGCCCACCACTTCCTTTTTCTATAACAGTAAACAATTGCATATTGGTTATAGCATGAAAGTAAGCTAAATAGAAATGACAAGATGAACTAATATTGTATGGTAGTCATACCAAAGCTTTGTCTGTGCTCCAATATCGTAATAGCCATGCCCAATCATCATCAGATACCCTTTCGTCCCGCTCTTTACATTGAAACCAATCCCTTTTCACAGAAGACTTAAAATTCCTCCACTTGCTACTTAAGGAACTCGATATCCAAGGTTCAACGAATGGGTCAATGTCAAATTTTTCCTACATATAAATTAAACTGCAAATGAGGATGAAGAGACTTATAAAATTAAAGATATTTGTTGTATAAGTTACATACCTGTACCAAATCCCACATTTCAGTTTTGTAATAGTTTGGCATTTTCCTCCAATCCTCGTACCTAAGAGGAGCATAAGCTCCATTCCTCGCTAAAGTACCCAAAAAAGTGGTCAACTTTTTAACATTTTTACCAACGGGTTGTCCCTGAGTATTGACCCTGATATGAAATTTTTCACCCCTCGACAAAGCCCAAATATCTTTGCACTTAGTAGGACCTCTTTTTCGTTTCATATGTGATGAAGCTGCAACACACGTTATAATCGTGAATGGAATAGGTGTAACCTCCATGCTTAAGAGTCTACACACTGAACACAATCAAAATTCCCAAAAAAAATCCTAACGGGAAAGAGGCCAACAGTACAAAGAAGCTAACTAAGATATATATATAACTGCCTATATATCTAAAGAGACCAAATAATCACTACGTGTAAGCTTACCTTGAACTATGCTTTCATGATTCTGATTTGAATGGGGAACCAAATTCTGAGCCGATTGGGATCTTGCACGCACCATTACCTGCTATTATAATATGATCAGAATCAGAAACCAGTTATAGATTTTGATGAAAAAGACGATACCTATTTTTGCCGCCGCTACGGAATCACCTTCGATAAAACTCTTGCTTGGAAGTCGGAACCCTATTCTGATTAAAATAGAAGGAATCGATTATGGAGGGCTGCGCTAGGATTTATTTAGGTTTACTAAAAATTTTACCGCTCACTTTTGCCGCTCTCTTTCTATTTTGTTTTTTCGATGGCAGCCGGGTAGCCGCTCAATTTTTTAGATATTAAATTTAACTATACAAAATGTTGGACCCATTGTATGTCGCGCAATTTTTTTGAAAAATTTTAGTACCCGTTTGTAGTGTTGGGTAGGATGATAATTGGTTTGGTAAGTTATAACAAAGTATTGAAATATTATATTGATAGTTATACCGGAAAAGTCAGAGTTAAGGTATTTTATGCTAAAATCGTGATTTAACCATGGTTCAACCGTTTCATACCACTAAATATCGCCTATCGGTTTATCCGCCGGTAGGAGATTTTTCTAGTTGAACCGCCGGTACGGTACGGTATTAAAGTACACAATTACTCAACTTTCTACTATGCTCCTTCTAAAACTCTTCTTTGAAATTATTCTCATTGAACCTTAGTCACTATTACAATTAAAGTAGGAAAGAGATCTTAAATAATTTACTTTCGTATTTACTTCAGTCCTACACCGATCAACACACATAGGTTTACCAAGTTGTATTTTGTTTCTAAATGGTTCTCGGTTAATCATTAAATACTTTGTACTTATTATCGTTGCCTATATAGTTTATATTAGTTGTTTAAGCGTAACCGTATATTTGACAATTGATTCGACAAGGTTATACCAAATTAACAGAACGGTCAATCCATAATCAACTGAAAGGCATAATTCAAAACATCCCAAATTCATACTTGCTGGGAACCTTAATTTTCATATTGCAGCTAAACTAAAAATCAAAAAAAAAAATGAAAAGATAAAATCCTCTTCCTATTACTGAACCCACGTCCCTAACAAAAATGGGGAGAACTTCCCTTATATATGCCACTAAATAGTCTATCCACAACACTGTTATTAGAGTTGCAAACTTCAATTTTATATGCTGGTTTTGAGTTCATAGCTAACCCATCTGGAATCATCTCTGCACATGTTGACAGTGATCCTACATATATACATGAGAAAGGAACTGGCAAGACTGAAAAAGTGAAACTTTATTACTAATAATGCAAAAACTTTACAACGCATTAGAAGGTTTCATTACACAGCAAATGGTAGGCAGTAGCTGGTGGGGGCAACAAAAGAAATAACAAGGAAGCACAAGAAGAAAAATGGGAAACGGGGAAAAGAAAAACAGTGCTCAGGAGCCATGTCTTGCAACTGCAAAAATAAGGGAATAAACTATCCACATGCTGCAGTAAAACAATTCGAATCTTCAACTGCAAACCAAATTTGCAATAACATCCATCTATACACTGTTCTCTTCTTCGTTGTCTTCCTCCTGTTCTGCATCTGAAATACCCCCCCCCCATTCAGGTACAAATATCTCAGCTGGAGCATCAACCAATTCCTCGTTTCTATCAGTCCTAGTCCAATCAACATGATCATCATTTGGAATGTCCCTAGAAACCACATCACCATCAGTCGGCACAAAAGTATCAGCATCAACGACATCCTTTTCACCCATATCATATAGATCTCTAGGTATGGTTTTGATAACAACTTGCCAATCTGTGTCAATGGGATCTCTTACGTAAAACACTTGCTGGGCTTGGGAAGCCATAATGAATGGCTCCTTATCACTCAACCGCTGTGAAAAATTAACTAATGTGAAACCCAAATCATCACGCTTCAGACCTCTACCATTTGATACCCAATCACATTTGAAAAGTACCACTTTATTACCATAATTGTAATCCAATTCCAGCATCTCATCAATAACCCCATAATAGCTTATCTCGCTATAGATTGGATTTCTGTCTCGGGCACTAGCAAAACTTTGAGTGTTTGCTATTATCATCACACCGCTGTTCTGTGTCTTCCTTTTTTGCTCCATCGTGCTGGTATGAAACCTTAAACCATTGGCGATAAACCCCTGAAACTTTTTTGCCACATTGTTTGGTAACCGAGCCAAACGTTTCAGTATCTTTAACTTTTGTTGAGATATGTTTAGGCTTCCTTCATATATCTGTATGTTAGTAGTTGAGTTAAAACTATAAGATCATATTTTATGCATTAATGACCTATGGTAGATATAGAATTGGTTGTAGAAACATACCTGATGAGAAAACCAAGGTTGAAAAGTGGAATTGTGCAGTACTTGAATAGCATGAGGTGATTTGCGTGGATATTGACTTTTTAACAAAGCCAGGTGTTGCCTATCCAACATTAAAACAATCAAACAAAGTTTACTACCTAAAGTACAGGTAGATAAGCAAAATGATAGGTGAGTCTTACTCGATGAAAGGATCTACGTCGCTGCAATTAGAAAGCACATAGTGATGTGCCTTGGCCAAGGTGTCAATATTGAGAGAGACAACTTCCTCATGTCCAAATGATCGACCTATCCTTGGAAAGATAGTCGATACTTCTTCGTCTTGTGTTTCATTCTCAGGGGTAAAGCTATCATCATTTCTAGAAGGACGATTATATCGTGTCTCGACTCCATGTAAGTATCTTGAGCAAAATGTTAAACACTCTACAGCAAGATAGCCATTTGCAATAGAACCTTCTGGATGAGCTTTATTACCAACATATGACTTTAATGTAGATAAGAACCTACATGAATTTATTCACACCAAACAAAATAAATATGAACACATATTACTTTCTGTAACAAAATCAATAAGAATAATCGCTAAAAATAAAACATACCGCTCAATTGGATACATCCATCGTGCTTGTACTGGTCCACCTAACTTTGCCTCACTCACCAAATGTACAGTCAAGTGAATCATAATGTCAAAAAATGACGGAGGAAAGATCCTTTCTAAGTGACACAGTGTTACAGCAATTTCATCATCTAATTTATTCAAATTCTCTACACGGCCAACCTTTGAACATAATTCCTTAAAGAATGAGCATAACTGTATCACAGGCTTGCTAATTGCTCTAGGCAGTAGTCTTCTTATTGCCAAAGGAAGAAGTTGTTGCATCAGAATATGACTATCATGACTCTTCAGACCTAAGATGCTCTTATTCTTCAAGTTCACACATCTAGATATGTTAGCAGCATAACCATCAGGAACTTTAACACTCTTTAATACTTTGCAGAAGGTCTTCTTTTCTTTAGTGTTGAGTGAGAAAGCTGCAATAGGTATCTTTAGCTTACCAGAAACATGTCTTTTGGGGTGTAATCCATGCCTTATCTTCATTAGTGCCATGTCCAAACGAGATTTGACACTATCCTTTGACTTCCCACTCACATTCAATATTGTCCAAAGAATGTTGTCACAAACATTCTTTTCAATATGCATTACATCCAAGTTATGTCTCAACACGTTGTCCTTCCAATATGGTAGGTTAAAGAATATACTGCATTTCTTCCAGCCATGGGGTAAGGGATCACTATTACTGAGCTTTCCAAACTTAACTTGTTTACCTTGTAGCTCAAGTAAGACCTCTGATCCAGACATAGGTCGCGGGGCAAGCCTAAACTCTTGATTATTGTCAAAGGCTTTCTTATGTCTTCGAAACTCATGCCCAACCTGCAAAAATCTTCGGTGGCCCAAGTAACAGAACTTATGACAATGCTTCAACCATTGTGAGTGAGTGTACTTATGACAAGAAGGACATGCCAAATGGCCCTTGGTGCTCCAACCTGATAACATTGCATAACCTGGGAAATCACTGATGGTCCACAACAATGATGCTTTCATCCTAAAATTTTGCTTCAATGATGCATCATAAGTTTCTATACCCTCATTCCACAAATTTTGTAGCTCTTCTATCAAAGGCTGCAAATATATATCAATGTCATTTCGACTCCTTTTCATGCTCCTTCCAAAACAACATGCAATCATTACGGCAAACCTCGATAACTTCATAGCTCAGGCCTAAATCTGATATGAGCTTCTGCACCTCATAGTAAGATTCAGGTAAAGTTTCTCCCTTTGGCAATACTTCTTTCAATAACTCTAACAGCATGCTGAATGATTTGATGGACCAATTTCCAAGACATTTCAAGTGAAATAACTTGATGATAAAAGAAAGTTTCGAATGACTTGTGCACCCAGGATAAAGTTCGGTTTGATTTGCTTCTACTAACTTAAAAAATTTAAGAGCATCATCATTCGGTTCTTCTGCTACCTCTGGGTGGACACCCATGAACATATCATTCAACAAGTCATGCATACTAGCATTTGTATCTATATGATCTTGGCATATAGTATCCTCTGCAGGTGAAGTATGAAATGAACTCTCGCCATGTAAAATCCAGTGGGTGTAATTCGGTAGAAATCCAACACATACTAAGTGATCATATACATCACCGTGAGACTTCCAAGAACGGTTCCAACAATTTTTGCAAGGGCACAAAATTTTGCCATCTTGAGCACAGGGTGAACCAAATGCAAATGCAAGAAAGTTGTTCAAACCAGTTCTATATTCATCACTAGCCCTGTGCTTATTCATCCAACTTTTATCCATCTTGAAAACCTTCCAAATGAAAAAGAAAAACAACGACAGATTGCAAATTCAGGTCA